CTGAGCTACAGGTACTGAGGCATCCTTCCAGATTTCTATACTAGAATTTCTCTCATGCCATCTTTAGGAACCTGCCATCAGCTGCCTACATCACCCTAAATTAAGAGGTCCCTATAAATGGCTGAGAATCCCATACAGTTTGGTTCAAAGGCAAAGACTCTCCATTTTTAGAATATTATTCCCAAGTAGAAACTGCCAGAGAAACAAAGGAGGGGAAGTGACAACTACTAAACACAATATCTACTATAAGGAGCAAACATAAAACAAGAGGGTTAGCACTTCTCTGCCCTTTGACGGGGCCTCAGCTGTTACCTAGTCTTTAGGTTACCTTCTTGTGTGGCCCAGTCCCACCTCCCTCTCTACTCCTCCCAGTACCTGTAAACTCACAGGGGTGTACAACCTTTCTTTTTCCAGCTGTACATTGGAAGAAGAGTTGTCTTGGGCCACACATTAAAAACAAAAACACTAACAAAACCTGATGAACAGAAAAAAGGTCTCTGTATAATTTCTGTATATCTGACACCACAGATAAGCAAAACAGACCTCAAATAATCTGCATGTGGCCTGCTTTACATGCCTGGGCATAGAGGTTCACAAAACACACTTGAAAAGATACTAATCTAGAAAATCTTTGGCCATTTGCATCCAGGACATTATAATTTCAAACGGCCATTTTAATTACAAATTCTTTGCCAAATGGCAGGCTACTCAAATTCACAAAATTAACATTTTGTTCACATTAACCTTTTTGCAACAGTCGCAATCACAATCTATCAAGTCAGTAATACTGCATAGTTGCAAGACCAAATATATTAAAAAAAAACTCTGTAAACAAATTCAAAATAATCCCAAAAAGATAATGTCCAAAATCTTGAGTACTTCACCCAATAGCCCAAGTCCCTAATAAATAAACCTTTAATTTTAAAAAACAGGAGAAAAAGATTATTAAAAAGAAACTTGTTTCTTATTTGCAGGCTGATAATCATTCTTCCTTTTGCCTATAAACAAATAATATTTATTCTGAATGGTGGAAATCTTCAGACAATTACAAATCAGCTTTGGAATGAGGGAATAAAACATTGACCCTGCAAGTGTTGGGATGTGCTAAATCTAAGCAGAGTTTCAGAAGAGTCAAACCACTGTAGTTCCTGAAACCACATTTTACAGATGAAAATTTTTCTAAAATTTACTAAGTTTCAAAGTACTTAAGTAATTGCCAGAGGCTAAAAGAAAGAGCAGGACCAGAGCAGCCAGTGATTCTAATACAGTAATTAGGCATACAAATAACAAGTGCAAAATCAAGGTGAAATGCTCATTTAAAAGAAAAAAGCCAGAAGCACTTCTGCTCAGTCCACAGTCACCAACATTATGATGTGATTTCAAAACAAAACAAAGAAAACACAAACAATAAAACTGCTTACCTGAACTCTCAGGTTGTTAAGACTTAATATACACTATACCCCAGATTAAGAAGTAATCAACAAAACTGATTTAAGAAAAAAACAAAAAACCCTCTTTGCAGAAAGATCAGTGAAAACCCATCTCTAAGAGGAGAAACTGGACCGTCATCAAAAAAGCCAACGAGAAGGATATCCACCAGCACAGGGCAGTGTCTAGGAAAGCCAAGGGGATAAAGGCCAAGGAAGCAAGATCAGTCTGGGCCTGCAGACAAAGAAAAAGAGGTGGTGAAAAACAGATGTCTAGAGAGGCACAGAGAAGATAGCACACAATTCTGCATTTATGTAATCATCTAGAATGGTTTTGCATTTGAACTGAAAGAAAAATAAAAAGAACTAACACTTGACAACACCTTATCATTCCTCCTGTCTTACAAACTATCAAATATATGAGCATTTCACATACATTGTTAAAGACAACCTCAATTCCATGACACATGCTGCTAACTACCATAAAGGTAATTATCACTGAGTCTCTAGCATAAAAAATACATGTTATGAAGTGACCACACCAAAAAAGTCCCAGTGTTTATAATTCTCCATTCCATCCTATCATTTCCTATTATTGTGATTTTGGCTGCTAAAAAGAGTCTAAAAAGGCTCTGCTCATAATTTTAAAAAATTACTGCATCATATACTAAAAATTATTGATGGCCAGGAGCAGTGGGTTACACCTATAACCCTAGTACTCTGGGAGGCTGAGGCAGGTGGACTGCTTAAGATCAGGAGTTTAAGACTAGCCTGAGCAAATTCGAGACCCCCCACCTATAAAAAATATCTAGGTGTTATGGCAGGCACCTGTAGTCCCAGCTACTTTAGAGGGGAGGCTGAGGTAAGAGGATCACGTGAGTCCAAGAGTCTGAGGTTGCTGTGGGCTATGACACCACAGCATTC